GGGAGGGAGGGAGGGAAGGACAATAGTAGAGTAGTAGAAGCCTGAGTTTCAGCAACCTCAGCCAGAGGCATTTGACCTTGGCCTGGGTCTGTTTTGACACAGGAAGCTGAGCTGCCCCCGAAGACATTAAGGAAACACAATGACTGTTTTGTCAGGTCTTATTGTTTAATTAGATCACAAGTTAAATCTCAGTTTTAAAATTCTTTTGGCACATGCCATAATTCTCAGTCTCAGTATCAAACATTTCCTAGCAGCTTTCAATACAAGGCAAATAGCAAGTAAATTCAATATTTGAACCACCTCAGTTACCTTTTTATTTTTATTTTTTCACAACCAGACTCTTAGAGTAAAAAGTTTCTAAGTTTCTAGAGGTTAATTATTCAGACGTTTTCTGGAAGTAATTGTATCCCGTGGATTTCAAATGCTCCATTCGTTTCCAGGCTTCCTTCCTTCAATATATGTTAAATGTTCTCAACACCTGGAGTGCTGGGTATGCCCTACATTGTGTCCATGCTTGAAGACTTCCTATTTGTATTCATGAACTCTGACCTGGTGCTCTCCAGACATAATGCAGAATCAGAGTATCAAAGTTCTAGGACAAAGCTGTTATCTGAGTCAAAGGGTTCTGATCCACCCAGTCCTGGGAGCTTGGAAATAAGAGGATCTCTGCAGCTTGCTGGACAGTCAGTCTGGCTGAACCAGTGAGCTCTGGGTTCAATGAGAGACCCTGTCTCAAAAAATAAGATGGGAATAGAGAAATAGATACCCTCTGGCCTCTGCACATGCAAACAAAAATGTGTATGTGTTCACATTATATATACACTGTGATAGAAAGAGAGGGGGAGAGACAGAGACAGAAATATACTGAGAAGCAAAGAGGCAGACAGAGACAGAGAGTGACAGAGAGACAGGGAAACAGAGAGACACAGAGAGACAGAGAGATATAGATAGGGAAAGAGAAAGACAGAAAGACAGACATGGAGACAGAGAGAGACAGAGACAGGGAAAGAGAGAGACAGAGACAGAGAGGAAAAGAGACAGACAGAGGAGAGAGAGAGAGAGATTAAAAGGAAATATGCCTCTAATCCCAGAAGTCTTCAGCCCATGGTTTGCTTCCTCTTTTACATCATGTTTCAAATTCTGGATGTTTTCTGCATGCCAGACCTCAAACGTTGGGACTTTAGCTCTCTTCCTGCCATGCCACAGATCAGTGAATCTGGTAATTGAGAATTTCCCTGCAAATTTCATTTTCCTTTGGGGCCAAATGAAATTCTAAATTTTCACTATTTATTCATCAACTCATGGACATCTAGATCAGTGTTTTTCAACCTGTAGGTCACAACCCCTCGGTTCACATACCAGACATCCTGTATACGCGGATACTTATATTACAATTTATAACAAAAGCCAAATTACAGAAGTATTGATGAAATCATTTCATGGTTGGGGGTCACTACAACATGAAGAGTCGCAGTATTAGGAAGGCTGAGAATTGCTGATCTAGACGGATTCAGTTTCGGTGCTATTGTAAACAGAGTAGCAATAAGTTGGATATGCAAAGGTTTCTGTGTTATAGTGTAGAATCATTTGGGTATGTTGTTATCATGGGGAAAACTGGTTCATAGGATAGTGATATTTTTAGTTTTCGTGAGAAGCTTGCACACATATTTCCATAGAGGCTTTACACAGTGACTAAGTGTACCCTGTCACACCAGCATTTTGCTGTCACTTGTTCTCACAATGGTGTGTGCTGAGTTCATGGCACCTGTTGTACAGTTGGATGCAGATGTCAACTGCCTCATTGATTCACAAATATGAGATGTATCGTCCTCTGAAGAGTCATGAAATCTTGAGAATAAAGGAAGCTATTTGGAGAGCTTTGGAACGAGCACAGAGAGCCCTGGGCAGAGTTCTAGGAAGGAC